TGGAAAGTTCCTTTCCCTAGAAAGGAAACGGAGCTGCCAAGACCCCTGTGCTTGGATATCTTGGAAATGCTGGGTCCAGTGGCAGGTTGAGAAGGTTCATCTTTGTTCCATCTGCAGAATTATTGCCTTCCTGGTGTGTGGGACAAAGAAAATGGAGAAAAAATTAGGAGGCTGTATGCGTCATTTTAGCTTCAATTAATAGTGAATTTGTCTATAAATGATAAACAGAGTTGGTAAAAGAGAAACTCCATCCCTTACGAAATCTTAGTAAGCCATGATTAGAAAGAAGCATCGTCTAGATAAAGGTCCCTATTACCAGTAACAATGGCTCCTAAAGAACCAAACAGCACAGGCATGCTCCTGAGAGTCAGAAATTAGCTGGGGGCGTGCCGTTATTTAGCAGGGTTCCCGGGTCGCTAACCCCTGCAGTTGAGCAGATGGGGCCAAGGAAGAGTCCCGACTGCCACTGTTTTTAAACCACAAGCTACCTAGAAACCAGCGTCACCCGAAGACCCAGCAAGGCAGTCTGTGAGTTGCCTGAGTGCTGCCCACACTCCTGTAAAGACTGGTTCTTCCCAAGTCAGCCCATAAAATCAATGTAATTCCAGCAAGATTGGATACTTTGTGGAATTCTGCCAGTTCTGACATTCATTTGGAAGAGTACAGGAGGACATGAGGTAGTTCTGAATGGCAGTGGTGGTGTGCGCCTGGTGGGTCCAAGGTGGGCAGAAGGCACTTGTCTTTGAGTCCTGCCAGCATGAATTCAGTTGTCATGCAGGTCAGAGAGACTGCTGGGGCAGCACGGAAGTTCAGACAGACCCAGCACACAGACGTGGGTACATGGTTTTAGGTGCAGGGAGGGAGAGATGGATTGTTTAATAAATAGTTCCCTGAGACAGCTAGCTAGCTGTTAGTTGGAACTCTACCTCAGTTTCCCAAAAACTAGGTCTAGAGGGAAAAACAACAATATTTTGAGAAATATATATATTGAGACAGGGTCTCCCTGTGTAGCTCTGGCTGTCCTGGAATTCACTATGTAGACTAAGCTGGCCTCAGAGTCACAGAGGTCCCCACCTGCTGCTGGGACTAAAGGCATGTGCCATCACACCTAGCAAGAAAATATATTTTTATACCTGATGTAGGACATTCTTTTCTAGATATAACATGGAACCTTAACATATAATAGGGGGAACGACTAAAAAAATAGATTTTGCCACAAAAAAAAAAATGAGAGCATGTTATAGGAAACGGGTTAACACCCACCTGTGCAGGTGGGCAAGCATCTGCAGCAGGTAGGCACTGCAGGAGAAAAAGCTTGCTCGGCTCCTCAGAGAGCATCACTAGGGTCTGCCCAGCGGTCACCCGAAGATTCAGTAGTGACAGGTCCTCCAGAGTGCACGCAGCCAGGCTCAGGCCTGGGTTCCTAGTCAGGTCTCAGTGAAGAAAACCATGATGCGTGGGAAGGGCTTAGCATAGGGCCTGGGCTCAAGACAGGTGTGGGTGGGAGTTTCTGTCCCGAAACGCGTTAGGAAAGAGTATGAAGCCGCTGTTAGAGCAAGTCTTGTTTGCTGGTATATGGTTTGTAGTCCAATGACAGAGGAGACTCTGTGAACCCCTAGGAAATTAGCAGAATAAAGGATACTCTTTGGAGGTCTTAGATGTGCAGTAAAGTTAATGCCACACAAAAGTGTCTGGGGACGGGGTCTTTAGCGCATCCCAGATTTGCCATGGAGAACCAGGTTTGCTGTCAGTCTGCCATCTTCCTGCCTCTGCTGCCCACGCTGGTGTTCCCTAGTCCAGTATTTCTTAGAGCAGCGTTGTTCAGAATGTCCCGTCAGCAGAGTTGCTTCTGGAAAGTGCAGGTTTCTGTCCTGTCCTCAATAGATAGGGCTATTTCTTCAGTCTGGGCGCTGAAGTGATGTGCGCGCAGAGCCACGTGCACCTGGATAAAGAAACAGAAACTTGCTCTACAACACAGGAAGAAAAAAAGACAATTCTGGGAGTAAGGCCAAAAAATTTGTTTGGGTTTGTTGTGTGTGTGTGTTGTTTTGGTTTTTTTGTTGTTGTTTTGTCTGTTGTTTTCTGAGACAGCACAAGCTGGCTTCCAATTTACAGAAATCCTCCTGCCTCAGCCTCCCAAGTGTGGGATTACAGGTGCATGCCACCATAACCTGGCTCCTATTGGTTTCAGTAACAAGCAGTCCAGTGAATGCAGCAGCCCTTGTCGTTGTGAGGACAACAGTACAGGGGAGCCAGGATACAACAAAACAACCTCAGTCACCAGAAAGGGAAGGACTGTCTCATCGAAACACATCCAGTTCCATGAAGAGGAAAGGGCTGAGTGGCTAGCTGGAAGCGCAGAGAAAAAGGCAGGCAAGTGTGAGCCTCTGTGTCCTCTTGCAGGGAGTCTGGGCCCACGTAGGGTTGGGATCTGCCATCCCCAGGGCGTGAAGAGAAAGAAGTAGAAATTCCTGGGAGCAGCATCTGAACTTGAACTGGAACTTCTCGTTTGCTGTCGTGGTGGCTACTGAGACGGTCCCTGTGAAGGCAGCTGCTCTGGGGGCAAAGGTAGGAGTCTCGAGTTTAGAGCGAGCTTGAGCAGCATTGAGACCCCATCTCAAACACGAGCTGTCAAATGAAACTACGTTCCCCCACATGAATACGAAGAGGAACAAAATGATGTAGTGAAGGGTGAGGCTTGAAGTTCAGCTAGAGATCTCTGAAAAGTTTTGTTCTTTCCTAACAAAAATGTGTGTGAAGGACAAGGCTCACAAGTGAGCGAGGATAGCAGAGAGACCCGGATCTTCCACCGAGCCAGTTTTGTTGAGGCCCAGTAGGAAGTAAAGTCCAAATCATAGCAGTTGCTAGGAGCAACTGGGTCTATTTGAGCTTCTGACTTTGGACTCCCCGGTTGATTAGGATAGCCTGCACACAGGAAGCCCAAGTGGGCTGGTGATGACAGCTTTAACGTGTACAGTATGACACAGTTGCAGATTGGAGATAATGACAGGGAGGAAGTCCCTTGAAGAAACGCCCGGGCTCCTTTGTAAGCATCGCACGCTACAGTTTGAGCATGTGTGTGTTCCTCTGTAGTTCCGTGAAATACTAGTAAGAGGTGGGGCCTGTGGGTGGCCTTTCTAGGAGGAGAATGGCCATTGTAAAAGAAGAAAGAAGCCAGGCGTGGTGGTGGTGCACTCAGGAAGCAGAGGCAGGCGGATCTCTTGAGTTCGAGGCCAACCTGGACTATAGAGTGACTTCCAAGACAGCCAGAGATATACAAAGAAACCCTATCTCAAAGAGGAAAAAAAGGGGCCTTGGGGAAGGAAGAACATGCTGAACTCGGAAAAGTTTGCTTCAGGCAGAGGTGGTTTGGTCAGCCTGGATCAAGGATACCCCATCAAGCCATGAGGCAAAAAATATCTTCATGCAGACTTGCTCTGTGTGAACTGCATGAGAAGGAACACCTGACTACTTGTTCGACTTCACTGAGCTCTTGAAAAAAAAAAATGTTTCAAAAGACGGAGGACTGCTTCTGCAAAGAAAAAGTCAAGGTTTGGAGGTATCGTCCAAAGTAATGATGCTCACTGTGCCCTGGAGCCGAATTATGTCCCTCCCAAAGGTGCTAGTGCTCCTCAAGACCCCGCCTACCTCCTTCCTGTTTGCTCTCAGTCAAAGACCAAAAATGAACTCCCAAGCTTGTCTATTAGAGATGCTGGAGGAAAAATCTGAACAGCCAGAGAAAGCCACAAGAGTAGGAAGCAGCCAGACTAGAGGAGAAACATGAAGACGGTGGGCCAAAGGCAAAAGTGAAGTCGCAGGAAGAACCAGCCTTGCGAGGGCAACGGGCTTACAGAGTAAGGAGCCAGAAGAGGGTGAAGATGATGGCCCTGTGATGTGTTCAGGCGGCTAGCTGTCTTCCGAAGATTGGGACATTCAAGTGTAGCTTGACGTTAGCGTCAGTGTAAAAACTACAGAGTTTTGTATGGCTGCTGAGATTTAAGAAGCCTTGGGGTGTGTGTGTGGGGGCCGCTGAAGAGATGGTTCAGTGGTTAAGAGCACTGGTTGCTCTCCTGAGTTCAATTCTCAGCAACCAAAACCATCAGTAATGAGATTTGTTGTGACCTGCAGGCATACAGCAAACAGAACACTGTACACAAATCTTAAAAACAGCCTTCAGAGGAGCTGGAGCATGGTTGTGCAATGTGTAACCCCAGCGGAGGCAAGAGGACGTTTGGAGGTCAGCCTGGGCTGCGTTAGATCCTATCCCCACCCCCACCCCCAAAAAATAAGGGGCAGGCGAAGGCGAGATAGCTCACTGGGTAAAGGCACCAGCCTGCCAGATCGAGTTTGATATCCTGGACCCACATGATGAAGGGCAAAACCCAACTTCCCCAACTTGGCGTCTGATCGCCACACCCACACTTGGGACGTCCGCACGCGCGCATACACGAACACAGAAATATAACCAAAAAAAGAAAAATCCTCAGCAGTTTACGGACCATTTAAAAAAAAAAAAAAAAGTGACCGCTCCAGAACTTTTTTTTTTTTTTTTTTTTTTTTTTTTTGGTGCTTTCTCCCGATTCCACCCACCTCCACGGGCGGGGCAACGTCAAGGCCACTTCCGGGTACCCCGGAAGCTCTTGTCGCTTAGCAACCCAGTAAACCATCAATCTTTAAGGGCCAAGGCAATGGCTATGAATTACTGAGCACCCGCTGCAGTTTGTGTATTGGAGCACTGAGGTCTTGCTGGGATTTCTGTTCTTCCCAGCCATAAGTGGTGGCATTTCTTCCCAGAATATCTGCTGTAAGGGAACTTCTCAAATCGGTCACCTACATCATCTGACCTTCATAACAACACAACCCAGCTCAGTGAAAGGACGTCGTGCTCCAACGATTGATGCTCTCAACCCAAGGGAACTGATGGAGGGGATACATAGTTGGAAGCGAGTATCTAGCATGTGGGTTCTTCACTCAGAAGACCAAGGAAGGAGGAACAGCAATTTAAGTTTTACCCTAAGTTCTTTATTTTCCATGGTTTATAAGCCAAAGCTTACGCAATCCTAAATCCCTGAGGAGCCAGAAGTCCCACCGTGAAAAATAGCCAACAGATCCAAGACTTGTACACGGAGGGATGGGTAAATCTGATGTCCATATCTGGCGCTCAGCTGAGTTAGAAAATGCAGACGTTTTTAGCCTGGAATGTATGAGCTGAGTGAGGAATGTCAGAAATGCTGCAGGGAGAATTCAGTCGTGCCCAGGCCTCGCTGAAGCCAGGCTACAGGATGTCAGCAAGCACCGCTCAGAGCGTCAGCCCCCGCTCCTCAAACAGCTGCTTTAGTGCCTCTTCCAGTTGCGGGTTCGTTCCTTGAAGCCCCTTCACCACCTGTGCTGCCCACTCGAAGTATTCCTGGACTCGCTGTTCTGACCACCCTGCACGAGAGTGGACAGAAACCCGCTCCTGTGATGTCGAGGCCAGCACTGGCTTTTGCCTGTTTCCTGGAGGGCTTTTGGTACAAGGCTATAAGACGAGTTGCGATGGAATGACCTGAAACTCTTCCAGGACCCAGCAACTTTTCCCACTTTGTGGAAGAAGGCTGTTCTAGGTTTAGTTTAAGGCACTAAGACCTCCGCCCCCGCACCCCCACCCCTGCTTATTTCTGGGAAATTGACCAATCTGTGTTTTTAGAAGCTGAACATTTCCCCCACCCTCACCCCCTCAGAGCTAGCAAGGGAGCATACCTTGAGGGGTGCAGCGATTCAGGTCTCTCAAATTGTATAATTTGTCTGCCAGTTTCACCAGTTTGGCCCCTGGGCTGCTGTGGGGTGCCTGCTCCACCTGTTGCCGCTTTCTTTCCAGTTTGGGCAGAGTTTTGTCGTCTGTTACTTCCTCCACCAAGCGCCGAACCTGGGCTCCGAAGTGCAGCTCTACCTCATCCAGGGTAGTGTCTGTGTCTTCTACTGTGTCGTGGAGCAGGGCCGCCTGGGGATAGGCTCCCGTTCAGTCCGGGGGCACTAGCCTACAATTATTGTTCAACAGTGCCTCCAATTCCCACACCAGCCTCCTGGCAGAGAAGGATAAAGTTACCTGTAACACCACAATGTCAGTGATTCCCGCCTCGTGGGTTAGGATCCGGGCCACACCTGACAGGGGCAAAGCAGAGGTCAGACTAGAGGGAGCCACAATGGTGAGCCAGGCATAGCCTCTCACCAGCTGGGTGACCTTGGGAAGTCCCTTACCCTCTTGGGACTGTACTTAGGGGACAATCCCATCACTGCCTCAGGTGAGGTTTGCACAGCAGAACGCACGAAAAGTGATTGGCACAAAGCTTGGGACTCAGTAGGCGCTCAATGATTTGTACACCCTTTGTGTTCCCGTCCCAATCAGTCCCCACCCGCCACGCGCCGCGAGGACTGATTCCCAACCGGCGCGCCCACCGATGGGGTGGTTGATGTAGGGAGTCCCTTCGGGATCTTTCCGTCGCTGCTGCCGGTGTTTGCGAGCGGCGAAGTCAGCAGCCTCCAGCAGCTGAGCCACCTCGGAGCCCATCGCGCGGGTGGCGCGGGGGACTGAAGCCCGTGTCCCAATAGGTCATCTACAGCTCCCCCTGGCGCATCGGAGGCTCGGAGAATGAGTTAATTCTAACAAGCTGTTATGCGTATGTGCGCGTGCGTGTGGCGCGTGTAGAGGCCATATGTCTCCATCTTAGTTTTGGAGACAAGGTCTCTCCTTGCACCTGTAGCTTCTCAGTTTTTTAGCAAGACTAGCTAGCCAATTAGTTTGCACGGATTCTCCTGTCTCCGCCTCCCCAGCAAACAGGTGTAGGTTGCCACCCCAAGCTTTTTACTGGCTATTGCTTTAGTCAATGCAAGTCCTTATTCTTATGCAACAAGCATTTTATCCACTGAGCCATAACCCCAGTCTCAGTGGAAGTTCTTCAGAGGTTGAGAGCCTGGGCACAGAAAAAAAAAAAGCCTTTAGCCAGACGGTGGTGGTGCACGCCTTTAATCCCAGCCCTCAGGAGGCAGGGGGAGTGGATCTCTGAGTTCCAGGCGAGCCTGGACTACAAAGTGAGTTCCAGGACAGCTGGGCTATGCAGAGAATTCCTGTCTTGAAAAATAAAATGAGAGAGAGAGAGAGAGAGAGAGAGAGAGAGAGAGAGAGAGAGAGAGAATAGCCTTCAATAATCATGGCTGGAGCAGTGTACTATGTTCCAGGCTCGAATATAGTTACCCCAACTCTCTAAGAACTAACGGTCTGTGGAGAGAAGAAAGGCAAACAAGAACAAAGGTGATGGCCTCAAGGAGTTCTGAGTATGGGTAGCCATGGGTCCATAGAGAAAGCCCAGTTCCTCTAGCCTGAGAGGCAGAGACATCTCCCAGGAGAAAAAGGCTGCCCACAGTCTTTCAGCACCCAGAATGTTTTCCAAGTGCTCCAAACATAGCTCTCCCCACAGGCACTGTCCCTGTTACTATGGGTGTCTGAGCCTTACATTTGGGCCCTAGAGACACTACGAGACGCTACGGCGCGACCTTCTGGAGAACGGGATCCTGAGCTAGAAGTTCTGCCTAATTGCTTCAGATTTAGGCTCCTGGGAGGCAGCGCTGTTTCTACAGAAACTGCATTGGTCTCTTGTAGCATAAGGGAGCCTGTTTTAGTCCCCAGGCCTCTGCTGTGGGCCTCTGAGGTGATGAGTCTTGCCCCAGCTGTTTCAGGGATATAATGTTACGTATCTCAGGTAGGCACTGGAATAATCCTTCCTTCTTTACTGACCAATGATCTTTGGATCTTCTGGAGAAATTCCCTGTCTTAGTGTTGGCAGCTCTGACATCTGAAGAGTAAGAGATCTGGGAACCTCCCCGAAGGACTCTCAACAGAGGTAGCCAGCTGCTAAGTGCATTCCAATCAGCAGGTAGCTTTTGTGTCTGGGCTGGAGGCTGGGGAGGTGAAGCTCAGGGGATGTTTACTGACAGGATTCTCAGGGAGGCTTGGTGGATGCCATGTTGTAACAGTTATGGAGGGACGCTCCACAGGTTGACCGGGGCCTAACATGGGTTGGTCAGAATTCCCGAGGTGTCTGTAGTAGCTTAGGAGTAGGAGGATGGATAGGCAGACCCATATCTGGCTTTATGTGTTCACTTTTTCAGGACAACATCTCAACCTCTCTCTCTCCCGGCGTTTCGAGTGCTTTGTGCTGTTCCTCCCTCAGCTTAGGAAAGCATAGGCAGTTCGGAGCCAGGGGCCTCACAATTCCCAGAAGATGACAGGAACTCAGTTGCTCTCATCTCTCCAGAAGCCTGTGATGGAGGAGTTTCCACCCCTGTGGGCCTTGGGGCTTTAATTCCAGGTTCCTTATTGTCGGGAATCATAGTTTAGGACAAATGCTGGATTCCTGGGATTACGACTGAGGCGGGGGTGACCCCTCATGGGCCTCCAGAGGAGTCCAGCGCCTCTCCTGACACACCTGGCTGTGGGGCTGCTGGTGCTTTTCAGTTGGATGAGCCCTGCCCACCCCACCGACCTCTCAGGTATATACACTTCTCCTGTCCTCTGAGAGCAACCTCAGCAGCTGAGAAAGCTAACGGTGAGGGGTCCTGGTAAGAAGCAGGACCCCATTTTGCACTTCGAACCGGGTGAAGGGGGTGTGGGTAACCTCCCTCCTCTATAGCCTTCTTGCTTCTCTCCAGCACTGGCTCATCACCCCCACTTGTGCCAGACCACGCGGGACGCTGAAGGCCGCCACTACCCGGGTTTCTTCTGTCCCCGCCTCTCCGACACTTCTGAGGAAGCCTACTGTTGCCACCTGCAGGCGGCTGGGGGTTCCTGCTGTACCCGGGATGAATTTGAGGCCCTGTACCAAGTAAACCTGTCTACTCTCCAGCCCCCGCCCATCCTCAGGTGAGAGCTCTGGTCCCAGATCCACGGGACACTGACAGCGTGCTCCAGGGTCTTGGGCTCTGGCCTTAAATTCTGCGGTGGGAGGCTTGTAGCTCCAGACTAGTGTAGGAAGTCACGTAAATCACGATTAAAACGACTCTGTGAAGGAGTTAAAAGTGACCAAGCTGCTGTATGTTTTGTGAACTTTTTTTTTTTTTTCTGAAGGGGAAGGGAATGGGATGTGTCAATAGAGAGGATCTGGTAGCCCACGAGTTACACACATTGTAGTAGGGGCTTTAATTCTGAATCTAGCTGCGTTCGTCTTCAAGATACTCGCAAGCCCCCACATTTGGTTGCAAACTATGCGTAGATAGTATTTATTCCGCGCTTTCTCTGACTCTCCGGGTTCCGTCACACCTGACTTGTCGCAGTCAGTGTACGATCTTGATTCTCTCCTCTCTCCCACAGGGGCCCAGGCCCGCTTCTGGCACTGGGCCTTTACAGTCTACTGCTGATGGCTCTGATGACCGCAGATTTCGTGCACTTCTTCTGTGGTCGAAGCCGGAGAGGACACTTAGACGCCAGCAGCCGCCGCCTCCCTTCTCGGGACTCCGTAGCGCGCCCCCTACGGGTCCCAGTGGGAACAGACTAGACGCCCCTGGAGCGTCCCTGAGCCTGAACCTGCGCCTGCGCAATGCTCGGAGCACTCCGCCCTTGCACGGCCCTGACTTCCTCTCTGCCTCGCCTTCTTTGGCGTAACCCCTGACGCTTTGCTGGGGCGGAGCAGCTCCCGGTATCTTCCCGAGGCCAGAGCTGCTTTTCCTCCAGAGACTGCTCCTGCGCCGGCCGGCTCGGAAGGAAGCTCAGCTCCGCAATGACTGTGAGTGGTCCAAGGGACCTCCGAGCCCCGGTCTTAGGTCCCGGGCTGCGTACTGATCCTCCTGTGAGATCCCCGTTTCTCACCTGACCATCGTCACTCCATATTCCTCCTTAGAGCCCTCCTCGGGGCTCTGCCCGGACCGGGCTCCTCTCCCAGCTGCGCTGATCTGCCCACTGCCTTTCTCTCCCTAGGCCAGCTCAGCCGAGCAGCTGCGGAAGGAGGGCAACGAGCTGTTCAAATGCGGGGATTACGAGGGTGCCCTGACCGCCTACACCCAGGCCCTGAGTCTCGGCGCGACGCCCCAGGACCAGGCCATTCTGCACCGAAACCGTGCTGCTTGCCACCTCAAGCTGGTGAGGGAGGGGGTCGGGTTGGTCTAACCTGGTTCTACCTGGGTCTGGGGTTGCGCCTAGGGCTGGGCATTTCCTAGCCACCCACGGTTGTCAGATGTCTTTACGCATTGGTAGTGGGGGAGTCAGTAGAGCAAGGGCGCCCATTGCTACTCGATTAGAGCAGGCTCCTGATCTTTCTCTTCCAGGAGGATTACAATAAAGCAGAATCAGAGGCGTCTAAAGGTAGGGGGGTGTGGGCCCTCATATGGAGCTGTGGGTCTTCTGTGGTGGGCAAGGACTCTGGGACCACTGAGCCTTCCCTTCTTCCACTTCCTCTGATCCCAGACACTTGTCTTTCTATTTGCTTTCCCACTTCTTCGGCCTTTGCTTTTCTGCAGCTGCCCTCACCTTTTCTGAGGCTGAAGCTCCGAGCTCCACATTGGTACCCCCACCTTCCTCTGGCCCTCAAGATCTTTCCCTACTGCTCTTGCCTGGAGATGGTGGCCTCATGGGTGCTGACAGAGCTCCTGTTTGTCTCAGCCATCGAAAAGGACGGCGGGGATGTCAAGGCGCTTTACCGCCGAAGCCAAGCGCTGGAGAAGCTGGGCCGCCTGGACCAGGCTGTCCTTGATCTGAAGAGATGTGTCAGCCTGGAGCCCAAGAACAAAGTTTTCCAGGAATCCTTGAGGAACATTGGGGGCCAAATTCAGGAGAAGGTATGTGAAAAATCAAGAGAGGATGGGGATGGCCTTGGTCAGGGTCAAGGATGTAGACACAGTGCTCAAAACAAGGTTTAATAATGCTTGCTCAGCCTGTGTGGTGGTGCACACCTTTAATCCCAGCACTCGGGAAGCAGAGGCAGGTGAATCTCTGTGAGTTTGAGGCCAGCCTGGTCTACAAGAACTAGTTCCAGGACAGCCAGGGCTGTTACACAGAGAAACCTTGTCTTGGAACAAAACAAAACAAAATAATACTCAGTGTGTTGGAAGAAATTGAATTAAAAGCATGGTTGTTTGGTGCGTGTGAAAGTTTATACACTTGACAAAGACGGAGGCAAGGATGAAAGCGGTGTGGCTCTGTGTGTGTGTGTGTGTGTGTGTGTGTGTACTCCACAGCTGCTGGTGAAGGTATGCATGGTATGTTTCCTTTAGGCGTCAGTATTAGTTAGCCCAGGCTGACCCTTTTCTCACTACACACCTGAAGCTGGCCTTGAACCCCTGATTATCCTGCTTCCAAAAACACTTTTATTTATACCTGGGCAGGGTCTCATACAGCCTAGGCTGGTCCTGGTTGCTGTGCAGCTGAGGATGACCTTGACTTCCTGTCTACACTTTCCAAGTGCTGCGATTTCATGCGTCTGGACTTTTTTTTCAGTCTTGTTTATAGTTAGAGAAACTTGGAGCCTGCCTAAATGCCCAGCAACGAGAGCAAAGCTAACCAGGCTAGGTCAGTGCTGTTGTTTCTGAGAAGTGGATCATGAGTGGTCGTGTGGGGAGGGCTGTGCTGTATGGTGGACGGAAAAGTAAAATATGCAGAAATACACCCGGGAGAGACTGTTACCACCGAGCTCATGACCCGTACAGTGTATCATGTCTGGGCACACTGGGTAAATATGTCTAAACACAGTGAAAGATATTGTTAGTTCATACATCCAAAGCCTGTTAAACTGGGAGTTCGAGGCGTGCCT